ATCAGTTTCTCTATAATGATCGCCAGGTTGAACAAAGGACACATAACCATACAGTATGTATCTGATTGTTATTAAATAGAAAAACAGATAGAAATTGAGGCTAAAGAGCAGTGGGACGGAGGGGAAGTACAGAGACTCGTTGCCCACAGGCTCCAGAGCACTTTCTGCATTATACATCAGCCTCTTTCTTGTTTTCCTTTCTGCCCTGAGTTACTGCATGAGATATCAGAGGCATCAGCTCTTTTTGAACCTTGACTGGATCCATTTCCAGTTGAATGCTGGAGCATAAATGAAACGGACAACTTCTACCCACTTTGACCAGTATATGGGTTATGTAAGACGATGCTAAAGGCTCTCAGAAGAAAACGAGACGCTCCGGCTACTCAGAGAGACATAGTGCTCCTGTTGCCATATAAAATGCTGACAGCGGCTTGAAAGGTGGGATGACATGGCTGAATGGAGTATGAATGGGCTGCAGTGAAACGTAAATGAGGCCGTGTCCTTTGGTATTTAAAGGCTGCTTCTCCAACAGGTCCTCCGCTGGTCTGCCAGCGACCTTTTGTGTGACAGTTGAATGTTGGTGGAATAAAATGGCTTTTTCTTCCCCCTCTTGGCCTTTTCACATGACAGGTGTCACATTCGTCAGCATTGTATCTGTGAATATGCGGAAAAGTGAGCATCAGCAGGGCTCGGATAAAATGTAGAATATTTGAAATAGTGGTGTCAATAGTCACCAGTAAAGACTGACATTCACTTCATAAGATTGTTTTATTTGAATATTTCTATAGGCTTGAAGATGTCTGGGAAATGTCTAAGGCCTAATTTTGGTTTTTTTTTCAATAAATTCCATAAAACACCCCCCAATGAATTAAACATGCTAGCAAGTATTTGTGCAGCCAAAGTCTGACATTACTGTATTCTTAGGTGCAATAAAGCTCCACCATCATTGTCAAAAACTATTCAAAACACATTAGCGAGGTGATGTTCGTTACTGTTCGGCTGCTGTAAATACTATCTCACCAAATGTGTAATAATCCAAATACTTTTTTATTCGGGTAATGTTTGCTAAAAATGACAAAGTATAGTACATACAGTATGTGACCTCTTTGTAAAGATCTTCAGTAGGAATGTGATGTGAGCTTGGAGCCGAGTGCCACAGACAGAAATTACTGAGATGATTCAAACCAATTAAGAATAATTTTAGTTGATAAAATCTTTTTTTGCCACAGTGGTTGAATGGTGCTTAGTTGTCCTCTCACTTAATGGGACTGTGATGTTAGCATAAGAGCAGGCTTGTATTTTTATTTATTTATTTATTTATTTGCTCCAACACTTAAATCCTATTTAAGAAAATAAATTCTCCATGTACTCTGAAACTGGAGCTTCGTTCAGCTTTTAGATTTAAATAAAAAAACTGAAAATCACTGCAATTTCTACTTTCTTTGTGTCTTCGCAGCACTACCCAGGGCTAGACGACATCAGCCCCAGTGAAGAGGTAACGGATACGGAGGACAATGAGGAAGAGGACCTGGGTGTCCTAGACGACCAGCGGAGCGTCATTCTCCATCTGCTCTCCCAGCTCAAACTGGGCATGGACCTCACACGGGTAACACTCTGAAACACTTTTATTATTATTAGAACAATAAAAAGATTCATGAAAACAGAGTTTGTGACATGAGTGCACCATTGCCAGTGTCTAATTTTTGAGAATTATTTTCAGAGCCTTTTTTAAAATAAATCTTGTCCTTGTAAAATTGTATGGTTTCTCAGGTGGTGTTGCCTACCTTCATTCTGGAAAAGCGATCACTGTTGGAGATGTATGCCAACTTCATGGCCCACCCTGACATGTTCCTGTCAATCACAGCTGGGGCCACAGCTGAGGACCGAATAGTCCGCTTTGTGGAGTACTACCTGACCGCCTTCCACGAGGGGCGCAAAGGTGCCGTGGCCAAGAAGCCCTATAACCCCGTGCTGGGGGAGACGTTCCACTGTTCCTGGGAAGTGCCTCGGGACAAAGTCAAACCATTGGTCAGAACAAACCTGGGATCGACTCAGGAGCCAAGCAAGGGCGATGATTCACTGGGAGGCTGCTACAGAGTTCGATTTGTGGCCGAGCAGGTGTCCCATCATCCACCAGTGTCGGGGTTTTACTGCGAGTCCCAGGAGAGGAGGATGTGCGTCAATGCCCATGTATGGACCAAGAGCAAATTCATGGGCATGTCTATAGGAGTGTCCATGGTGGGAGAAGGTGAGTCACACCTGGGTGCCTTAAATAAATGTGCCTTACTATAGTATGTTGTGAAAATGCATGACGTACAACATAGTTTTGTGTTTGTACAGTCAACGGCAGACACTGCTATTTTTTTGAACACACCCCTTTCAACTAATTGCCCAATTTCACAGCCTTAAGAGCGTGCATATCATGAATGCTGGGTCTTGTTTGCTTTCTGAGAATCTACTGCACCTACTGGTAACTTGTTTGCCATGTAGCAATAAAAAATATACTAAAAACCTGGATTATTCTGGTTAGTCACATTGTACTGCTATTATTTTGAACAATACTGTATAGTCTAGGAGCCCGATCTCCCCAATGTTTTAGTCTAGACTTGGGTGCAACTGATTGGAAGACCTAAGTGTCCTCCCTGGAGCATAAAAAATGTACAAGATCAGAGATATACAAAGGTGCTAGACCATGCACAGCCTTATAAACAAACATCACCAATTTAAAATCAATCCTAAAATGAACAGGAAGCCAGTGGAGTGAGGCAAGAACTGGGGTTATGTGCTCAAGAGGCCGTGTATTCATCAGAAGACGAGCAGCTGCATTTTGGACCAACTGGAGCCGAGATAATGAAGCTTGACAAATGCCAGTATATACGTAGTGTGTTACAATAATCAAGTCTAGAACTATTAAAGGCATGAATTGCTTTTTCAAAATCATTAAAAGAAAGTGTTTATCCTTAGCGAGTAGTCTCAACTGAAAAAAGCTGGCCTTGACCACAGATTTTATCTGTTCATCCAGCTTAAGAGCACTATTAAATATCACCCCAAGATTCTTCACATGAGGCCTTAGATTAAGGGGCCAATGGGTTAAGAATATCAGGATTAACAAAACCTGAGCTACCAATTAAAACACTGTCTTACTTTCATTAATATGTAAGAGGTTACATGATAACCATGTTTTAATTCGCTCAAGCAGTCCACCAGGGTATGTAGTGAGTTGCTCCTCTTCACATTCAGTGGCATAAATAGATTTGAATATCATCTGCATAACAGTGAAAAGACAACCCATATTTCATGAAAATTGACCCTAGGGGCAGTAAATACAAAGAGAAGAAATTGTTTTGTGAGTCTGATTTAGAGGCTTGTCCAAGCTCATTAACCGATGCCACAAGTCAGTATAAGTTCTAAAGGTGTTCTTGTATAGCAGGGGGATGGCACAGTGGTTAATACCACTAACTGTGGTATGGCAGGGTGGGGTTCAGTTCCCTGTCAAGCCATGAGCGCTCATTTTGTGAATGTGATTTAGAGGCTTTGTGCAATAGCATTAACTGATACCACAAGTCAGTACAAGTTCCAAAGGTCTTCCTGTACAGCAGGTGGATGGCACAGTGGTTGATACCACTGACTCTGGTACGGCAGGTCAGGGTTCGTGGCCAGTTGTGGGTCCTTCAGCAAGGTCCTTAGTGCTATCTGCTGAGTGAGGTACACCATGAACCCCTACAGCTGGGATGCTGCCGGAAGGTGGGGAGATAGCCACTTGCTGTGTAGTTACATACAACTTTTACTGGTTTCAGTTTCTCACGTACATAACTGGCTAAAGACTTTAGAACATTATTGGTTAACACAGTTTAGCGAGCAAAAGGGGATGCTTGGTTTGGTGCAAGGCATATTTACATACATATTTTCCAATGCGCGCTCTGTCTGCTGGTGAGAGTATGCTCACGCCCCCTAATACAATGGTAGGGGAAGCACTGGTATATATGACACATGCTGTCAGTAATGATTGGTAGTCACTGTTCAGCCTGGTGCTGTGTTCACATCATCATATAATGGCTAAAGGCTGCTGTTGCGTTGCAGTGGGTTTGTTTCTCACTGGGTAGTGGGTGTCACTTCGTAGTGGGTGTCTGTTGTGCTGAGCATTGTTCTATTATATGTACAGTTTTACATATCAAGTGCTCCAAAAATCTGTATTTTGAACATGGGAAGATTTTGTTTGCCTCAGCTCATGTGTTTGTGCGTTTGAGCACCCATTGTAACCGCGTCACTTTGTCCTCCCAGGAGTCCTGTATCTCTTGGAACACGACGAGGAGTACGTCTTCACGTTGCCTTGTGCCTACGCCCGCTCTATCCTCACTGTGCCCTGGGTGGAGCTAGGAGGCAAAGTCTCCATCAACTGTGTCAAGAGCGGCTACTCTGCCACAGTCACCTTTCACACCAAGCCTTTCTATGGAGGGAAGGTACATAGGTGAGTGAGTCTCTCACCCTGCCTGTCTTTAAAAACATCCATCATTCACTTTATAGACTGAGGAAAGAATGTATTCTTCTGCCAGTGGCTTCATGCACCACAGTATTATTAGGTTAATAAATGTAGCTCACATCAACTCATGTAACTAATACTGGAAACTAGGCAGGTTACTGGCAACAGGTGCATAAAACATAGCCTATAAATTGTGACTCAGAATTTTAGAGCATTTTACTCAGGCTACATTTTCCACTGAAGTGTTATTGTCTACAATATGAGGGGTGTGTCGCGCTTGTTAAAAAGCTGCTTACCACCCTTCCTGTCCTCTGCACCTTGTTGATATTTGTCTTTCACTTGATTGAAGGAGATAAAATATAAGACAAGTCAATGCGAGTTGAATTTAATATTAACATACTGTAACAAACATTCATTCATAAATAGCCTTCCACTTATTTGTGTATCAAAGGAAAAAGGCACACTGTGTAGATGCTCCAAAAAGAGATTTAATAAGTAAAATTGACATTTCAACATTACGTACTATTCCAAATGTGACCAAGAAGATTCATAATATATAGGCAGAGCCCGTCAATATGTACAGATCATGACCAAAACAAAACTCTGATATTTATTCCATTCCAACCACAGAGGTGCAAACAAATACAAGTACTTGAATCATTAGAATGTGTAATGTATTGATGTAATAGGCAAGTCAGCAATATCTAAACCATTTCTAAATCAGGAGTGTGTGACGGAGATTTTACAACAGACTAAGTGTGGTCTGACCAATGTCTCAGTGGCAGAGACAAAACAATTCCTCAGTATTGGTGCAATAATAATACAAGTAAGTCTGAGCTTGTCTCTTTTCACGTCAGTGCTCGAAATGTAAAAGCATGTAAAAGTGTAACAGGCAGTCAGGACAATTTTCCAACAACAATGTTTTGTATTACAGAGTGACAGCAGAAGTCAAACACAACCTGACCAACACCATTGTATGCAAAGCCCAGGGCGAGTGGAACGGTACGCTGGAGTTTACCTACAGCAGCGGGGAAACCAAAGTGATTGACACGGCCAAACTTCCAATCACCAGGAAGAAGCTGCGGCCTGTGGAGAAGCAGGGGAGGACAGAATCCAGGTGAAAAAAAACAAACTAATTATCACTGACTAAAGCAATTTTCTAAATAGGTTAATTTAGGCCACAGACAGTCCCAGACGTAGGAGCTGCTCATTCACTTTTTGTGTTTATCTACGCTTGTAGGAGGTTATGGCAACACGTCACCAAGTCGCTGAAGGACGGGAACATCGACGAGGCCACGGAGCACAAACACAGGCTGGAGGAGCGACAGAGAGGGGAGGAGAGGCAGAGAGCAGCTGATAACAAACCCTGGACTCCCAAGTACTTCACTAAAGAGGTACAGTGTGTGGCAATAAGCTTCTTAGAGCAGCACCATAAATGTAATGCAGGGTGGAACGGTGATACAGGAGCCTTTTCTAAACACTCAGTGAAAACTAATCCAACAGTCCTGCAATAAATCCTGATGATGTTCAGTTTCTGTTGAGAGGTGTTGATTCAACTGATCATTTTGGAGGATGTAGTTTGTACTGCTGTTCATCTGTGGTATACTGAGAAGTGTTTTTTAGCCTAACCGATATAAATGTGTGGTGGACAAAATAATAGAAACACCTGTCAGTTTAATGCAGTACACCACAAACATAGACTTCCAAAATGATCACACAGTCGACCTCTCACCTTCATGAAGGGGGATTCACTGCAGGAGTGTTGCTTTACACTGCATTAGTTTTACCTCAGTGTGCCTAAAACTGCCAACTGAGCGTGTAACACGGGCTGTCAGAAGTCACACCCTGCTTACAGTATAGTACCACGTATTTAAACTTTCCAAACAGTAGTGTAGCTGCTGACTAAAATCATCCTGATTTGCTTTGGAGTGATCATTCCTCACATAATAGCTGTTCAACCTCAGTACAGTGGGAGTGAATGGAACTTTGTGCTGCTGACAAAACAAAAATTACATCCAAGCAGTGAGTCATCTGGTTTTCCTTCTCTGTAGTTTAAGATAACTTAGTGAAAGTTGTTTGAGCTTCCAGTGGAGCATAGCAAAAATAAACAGTTTGTAGCTATTTATTGTTTTACTGTTGCAAAATGTAAAGAAATACAGACTAAAACTAGACTTACCACTTTGCCTCTGCCAACCACTCAAACACATGGAAATGGGACAAGCGCAAGGTCGCTGACCTTTGACCACCAAAATCTAATCAGTTCATCTTTGGGTCCAGGTGGACACTTGTGCCAAATTCGAAGAAATTCCCTCAAGGTGTTCTTGGCATATCACCTTCACAAGAATGGGCCGGACGGACAACCCGAAAACAAAACGCCTCCGGCTGCGGCTATTGCCGGCGTAGAGACAAACAGGACCAGAGCTGTGCTCAACTCATTGTATCCATGGCACTATTATACTTCCTGTTTCTTGTAAAAGTTTACATCTGTTCACACAAGTGAAGGCTTTATAGTTTAATAATTTGGAAAATGTCACTTTAAACTTTAAAAATATCTTCACTCATGAAAAGTAACAAGAAACGGGACATTCTGTTGTCATAAACAAAAAGACTTGCACTGTGGACTGAAACCTGGGACCAGTTTTTCAGTGTCCTTTGTGTTTTGGAAGTTCACCACGCTATCTGTCAGTTAATAATTGCTGTGTACTACTGGAAGCACAGGCCGCCGTCGCTGAGGAAATCTTAAAAACCTGATGATTCTCAGACAAGTTCTGAAGAGTTCTAACCCCTGCACCATTATTGCCCATTAGCTTGTAAGTATGAACTAGTGGGCCATAATTGTGAGATAAGGCCTTCTGTTTTGTGGATGCAGTGGGCTTCTGTATCTCTCTGTGTTTGTTTTGTTTTTAACTTTAACAAAACAAGATATTTGAGGCTCATCTCAATTATAATAGCCATGACCCTCAGCACAGCAAACAGGACAGTTCCTGGGCCTGGACAGTGTACAAGCCCAAGAACAAAGCTTTTTTTTTTTTAGCACCTGGAACTAATTTTAGTCTTTGGAAACAACACATCGAATGTCATATTTCTATCCTCTAAGCACTACAAACATTTTCACCCACATAGTACTGAGATTTTTGGATTAGATTTGAACTGGTGCCGCTTGTGGTAATTCCCTTACCTTTGTAGGGAGACGGTTGGATCTACAACAACCCGCTGTGGAAGTCGACCTGACAGCACAGCAACACCCTCTGCTCATGGACAATAACAGAGTTCCTGCCTCCGCACGCCGAGGACTGAGATCAGGAGGTGGGACCGTGGGAACGTCGTCCTCCACCAACAGGAGCTACAGACTGAATGACAGAAACAGGAAACAAGCAAGGTGCCAAAGGGATCTCCACCGTATTAACTAAGGAAGGGTTTGGGACTCTTGGGACAGAAGTACATTTTTATATATGCTTAGTAGTATTACTATTCAGAGTCCAGTATTTCTATTTTTCACCTTGCAGAGGCTTCTTCTTTTGCACACAGAGTAATGACGTTTGTCACTGGTGGGTTATTTTTTATGTTTTCTCAAACATTCCCAGTGTTTAGTTCGAAGCTTTTTGTTTGTCATGCAGCATTTAGAATGAATCGAGTTCTATGTAACACACAATACTGTAGCTGTAAACCAGCTGTTTATAAAGCACTTTTACCATAGAAATAAATGTATTTTATATCTATGGCTTTTACCAATCAGGGTGGTCTTTAAGAGATTTATGAGGCACCTAAAATGACCTAAATATACTATATTAGGTCATGTGTTAGTATAGATTGTTACACAGTACATTACAGTGAACCACTAAAAAGTAAAGGTCTTGATTGTTTTGTCTGGACTATGAATGTATCTTGGTACATTTTATTAAGATGCTTCCCAGTTTAATAATGGTTAGACTACACATGCTTTTTGTGTTGTACCTGTTAATTATTTTGCCACGTCGCCCCAGCCTGTGCCTCCTGAAGGAAATACTTCTCCACAGGTCACCCATGGTGATGAATATGGATGAGGAGGCTCGCAGGAACACACAAGCACGTTCTCGCATCTGGGGGTCGCTGAAGGTTGCCTCTGTAAAGATGAGGATCATCTACCAGAATAACAATCACTGGGTGCTGGGGTAACAGAAAAGGAAATGTATTCGATCATACAACTGTAGTAGTCACATTTTCAGACCGTGTATTTGACAAACTGTTGCCAATTTCCAGATTGAATGGTTTTCCTAAGCAAAGCGAAGCAGAGATTAAATGAGAGCAATTAAGAGCATCTTCGCTGAACGCGTCTTATTTTTTGTTTTGACTGCAGCACTTGGGCAACTGTATTAATCGTCCTATATGATGAATGCAACATTAAATTGGGACATTCTGCATACCGAGGAATTTTACTTTTAAGTACATATTTATGCTAATGCCTATGCAAGACAAAACTTGCAAGAGAATACGTATTGCTACTTTTAATACTAGTTCTCAATACTGTTTCCGCTACTGCTAATTAGCATGACGCTGAAAGCACATACGAGCCTAAGAGAACGAGCACGATAACACGTCACCGCTCAGAAAACTAAAATGGCCGACAACTCGATGAGCTTGACAGGTAGACTAATGAGAGCTGAGTTGGAAGAAAGTTAGCAGGGGAAAACCTTTAGAAAGCTTGGTAAAAATCCATTTAGATTGTTCCAAAATGTTCCTTAGTTTCTGCAGCATTCAGAGTTAAATTTGATACATTTTACACCATTTTAATTCATCAAATACGTGTTTCACCATCACCAGCCACACTATGAAAGAATGATGGAAAACCAGACGATAAGAACCGACCTTTGTGTTTTCCAGCTGTGTTTAATAATAAAATGGTATAAATTTATTGGAGCAGAAAATGGAGTGACGGATTAACCTATTTAAATTATAGTTTTTAATTCTGCAATGATTTAAAGACAAATCAATTAGTCTACTTACCAAAAAAAGTAAAAAATCTTCAGGTTTTAGCTACAAAATTTAAAATTTGCCGTCAAAATTAAATGGAATTTTTAAATTTTGAACTGATGGACAGAAAAAAAAGGGGAGAAAAGCACCGAATATGTCGGTACCTTAAACATAGGGGTTTTTAATATCTTCTAACGCTTTTGTTTGTTGAAACAAACTCACTGCCATCTTCAACTCATTCATCTCCTAGTACATTTTTAAATGGTTGCTGATCTGCACCGTGTATATCCACGTACACATAACTGGTGTGCCACTGGAGAACCTGGGCTTTAAGAGTCTTGCTCAAGATCAAGTAATGTAATATTATGATGTGGTCTGTTTAAGAAAAGCTTATTTTACATCACCGACCCACCACTGAGCCTAATGCAGAGCGATTTCACCCAGTGACCTTACAATGGTGAGTCTGCGAAACCACCACCACCTTCACCAGTCTGTTCTTTATACATACTGATGAAGACTCAGAAGCAAACGTCCTCATCCAAAGCCCAATGCTGCCATCAAGTGGTAAACATCGTGTTCACCTAGGTTAAAAACAGACATCCTCAGAGTAGTTTTAGTCAAGTAGAAGGTGCCACAATAAAAACAACTTACACAAATGTTTTCATTAAAGTGTATATTTAAAGATGGCTGAACAGAATAATGTCAATGTAAATTTTAAAGGTGAACAGAGACGAGCAGGAAAGTACTGCGTTGAACAAAAACAGCATTATGGACAGGCTACTAAGACATGAGTGAACTCAGTAGAGGCGGTGTCTCGCTGTTCTCCATTAAGAAAAAACAAAACAAAATGAACAAATAAGAGGGTAACAAACTGTACAGCACATTAAGGCTTAGTCTGAACTCTCCCCTCACTTGACAAATGAGAAATCAAAAGGACGTGGCGGTTCTAGAGGTTGTGTAACCAAATAATGTAGCTTTGTGTCAAAGGTAAGAAGACTGAAATGGTGACACTGTTTCAAAGATCAAAAGCGGAAAGCAAAGTGATTCAGACAGATTTTTTAAAGTGTAAAGAAAAAAATGAGCATGTGAAACTAATGAATAATTTTCTGAGATGTGACAAGTATAGCTGCATGATTTGTCACTTATTTGATGAAAAATAATGTTATGAAAGGTCTACATAAAGAAACTCATATAGTGTTTAGACGTGGCCTCTGAAGAAACCAAACGCAAAACAGTGCAGTGCCGTAAAGTAAGAAGTCTGATTAGAGCTGTGTCCCAATCATACTGTATATTAGACTGGAAGTAATTAGTCAGACAACTGTTGTTGATAATCTGTTAATCCTTTGTCAAGATTTGCTGCTTTTCTCTGTTTTATATCAGCTCGAAGTTTAACATCTGGATTTTATAGACAAAGCATTGTAAAATGAATAAAAGTCAGTTGCAGCACTGGTGCTTAATGACAACTCTGGAAACAGCGGATTCTAAAAAGTTCCTGAGTATGAATTAACAAGATACCCCAAACCTTTTTAGGCTTGTGCAGTATGGAACTGGGACACAGCTCTTAAGGAAGTTCTTACCTTTCCTGACCTCAGTTAGCATGTCTTTTTCTAATTTCACCATCAGTGCCTGCGTACTATCTATCATCCTTCACAGTTCCTCCATCCATTTCCAGACATTGCAAAAGTTTCCAGTTCCCAAAGCCTCAGTCTGATCAAAGCACCCCATCCGCTGCATTGGTACAGAATGAGCTAAACAAAACGCTGACAAGGTGGCGGTCACATATTAATGAGGTGGCGATGACCAACGATGAGGCACTAGGCTTTGCTCACTGGGATAGAGAGCTCCCTCCGCAGGAAGGGAGGCCTAATTTATTATCACTACTTTTTACACACAGTTGCCTGCTTCCATCTTTAAAACCCTAGTAGCAGAAATGTACAATCTATGCAATTTATGAAAAAGTGGGGAAACTGTAAAAATTCACATTCACTCTCTCAAGCTCCTCTGTACAAGAATTATTGCATTCACTGTTCTATCTGCTGTCATACGAAAAACCCCGAAACAGTTACATAAAGAAATTGAGGAAAACAAACTGCATATTTAAAAATCACCACAACAATCCAATCAATATATTATCCTTTTAGACATTTTCTTTACATAACATATTTACACAATAGGCCAATTTTTTTCCTAAAGACTTTGTGGGAAAAGGGTCAAGGAGCCAAGCAGACAAAAAGGAGACGATGATGATAAAAAGGTTATTACAGATGGGCTGTGCCCCGACAGTGACGTTCCTCCATACCGCATACTGTCCTCTGTACACGTGTCAGGAACAAAGTCCTCAGCTTTCACTCCTGCGCTACCTCACTCTAAGTAATGACTTCACATGTGCCATGGAGAAAGGTTGATGGGTCTTTGGTGCAAATGTTACTAATCTTCTCTCCTTTTCCCCTTCACCTGATCCCATACTGATAAGCAGTTAATTAACGTACCACAAAAAGTAATCGATGCGAACCAAGCAGAGCAGCCCTATGCCTTTCCACAAATTCAAGTATAAAGTAAAAAAAAGAAAAGAAAAACAAAAACAGAAGGGGGGGAAAAAGCAAGACAGAGGTCCTCAGGGTAAAACGCACAACAGTTCTGGAGCTATCCAGATACCACACCCCAGCTTCCTCAACACAACGCTCCAAGGAGAAGCGCTTGAGACTAAGTGCCAGATAAACGGCTGCTGTGTTCTTCTTCATTGGTTGTTAGAGGTTTCTGCGCGTTTGTTTTCCTAGAACAGTTCATCATCATTATTTTTTTTGTAGTTTCTTTCCTTTCCTCAGGACGAGCTTGTTCTTGATGTGTCCTCGCTTCCTCTTGGCAGTCTGGTCAGAGAGAGAGAGGTGGGGGGGATTTGCACATCAGTTTTGTCCATTCTAAGAGAATCTTGTGACTAAGATGACTGATTATGATTGAAGGTGTTTTACACCCTGGCTGTTGATTTGACAGACAGTGTGTAAAATCTTAGTCCTGTGTTCTACTGGACTGACAAATGTACTTGTCAGCCTTTGGTATCATTTCAACAAATGCTTTTCTTGCTAATAAAGAAAATTCCATAGTCCTGAGTTAATGTCATGAGTCAGTAATAAAGTTTTATTTTGAAGCCTCTTTGCTTCTCCAACTATAAAATAAATTAATACATCACCAACACACTGCGATGTGACATAATTGACCAAATGGATTGACTCCTTCACAACAAACACAGACAAGATCTCCCCTGATACCTTCTTAGAGGTGTACTTCTGCTTGGGCACCACGCTGCGAAGCTTGTGGTCCATCGGCTCTCTGTTGTCCAGGCTCTTCACCTTGTAGATCCTGACCAGCCAGTGCTCCGAAGTAAACGCCTCCTCCAGGTGCTTGAACTTTATGTCCTTGTTGCCGATCTCAGCGTTACGTGTCCGGTCGAAGCCAGGTGGTGTACGGAAGTCCAGCTGGGAAATGGAAAAACTTCTCATTTTACTACTTAGCTAGCGATACGCGAGTGAAAAATGCATGTAAACCATTTTTGTTATAAATTACAGAAGGTTTGTGCAGACCTTTTAAAAGTGTTTTCATACCACACACAGCACAATGCATTCTCGAATATACCAGCAAAGTATGAAATCATAATGAAAAACTAGTAGAGAAGATATGGACTACAATTATTTAATCTGACATTTTTAGTGCTTTCCAGCAATATATAATAACACCTCATGACGATTCATTAAAATAATAAAACCTAAACCTTATGCAGCAGAATGGATGGCTTGGGTCACAAATGAAAACATTAGTCAAATAATGGAATTAGACTACTGAAAGCAAACTGCCAACCTTTTCTCATTTTGAGCCAAAAATGTCAAACATTTGCTGCGTTTTGTTCACAAAGACGAAGACAAAAACTATTTCAACACAATTAGAAAAGAAAAACAAAAAGTTAGTTAGAACTTTTGGTTACAGTGCAGCAACTGCCCCTTGGCAAGAGTTACATTTGGCACAAGCTAACTTCACTCTCTTGTACCTATTATTTTCCCTAAAAGCCCTTGACTGCTCTGGCTCCACTCTTCTACCTCTATTGTAAAAGCTACACTCTCCATCTATCTTCGCGGTTCCCCCCCCCCCACCCCACTCATTTCCTCCTTTCTTTTCAGTCGCAATTTTCACATTTCCATCTCCTGGTTCTCCAGTACGCCTTTAGGCAGAGGACAGAGTAATACATATCAGATTAGAATTAGCCACAAAGGTTCTCCTGACACATTTATTAGCATTTTCAAATCTTCATTTAAATGTTATGAAAAGAAAATACATGTGTACAGTAGGTGTATGAGACCATGGGTTAATTCTGTTCATTATACAATACTGTCCTCTCTGTCCTGTATGATGCATTGTCAGTATTATCCCTTTAATTCCCACTCACCGCTACAAACTGCATCTCTAACTATCCTGTACTATGGCTCACCCAACTCTTCTATCGTCTTTTTCCTCTAAACCTCCATTTTTCTATTTCACATCCTGTTTCCATAAACCCAGTCTACTCCACCGACTAACACTTTT